TGTTTTTAGTTTTTAAATATTTATGTGTTTTTAATTAATACATAAAAATAATACAATCAGTTTAACCGCCTCAGGTTATTACATTGGTATTACATACGATCATGACACCTCTCAAGCCTCATGGGATGTTTTGCTTGTTAAACTGAAAAATCTTCACTTCGTGCACGTTGATCAGGAGACATTGGAGCACTCTGATGAAAACTCACGTCGGTGTAAGTTTGTGTCGATTTGTAGTTCTGTTTGAGTCGGTGAGATTAAATATTTATTTATTTGATTTTGGTGAATTTTGTCTTCATATTTTATGCCAAAAAAAAAATCCCAAAAAATATTCAATAAACTCATCATCATCAGCCGCAGCAGCAGCTTGTCTCTCTGCTGAGGTCATGACCCGTAACCTGATCATGAGCAGTTTCATGCAGTGACCACTTTCTTTTCCCCGTCTACATCCACCAACCGTATTGACCTGCACCGGGAACCATGCATCACCGCGTGACGAAGTTCGTGGTCCTGACAGGACGTTAATGTTGTTTGCTGTTGTGAGTCTTTCTGTGCATCACATTCCTCAGGACAGAAGTACTGAGAGCACAGCGACTGCTCTGGAAGTTGTCTTCATCGTCTCTCCTCTTCTGCTGTGCAGAATAATATCACTGTTCCCTTTGGGACAGAAATTCAAACCACAACCAGCAGCTGAACTCTGGAGGCTCATCAACCAACGGCTGATGATGTCATTGGCCCAGAATGTATTGCACATGCAATGTAATAGCAAGTTTGCAGTTATTTCATTTGTTACTACATGTTTAAATGGATAAGATATTTAGAGCAGATTATTTATTTTGTTTTTATTTTTACAGGAAATGCTGCTTTGATTGTGACTTTAATCTTTAGACTGTGCTGTCTGCAGTTCTCAGACAGTCGGGTTGGCTCATTATTATTATCCTTCATTAATGACATGAAAACATTTTAGATCATCTGTCACAGGAAAAGGAAACGGTGAAGAACACAAACAGAGCAGTATGTCGAGGCTGTTTGAGGGTTAAGCTGTGCAGAGCTGTGCACTGAGGAGCTCTCAGAAAGAAAGACGTGAATAAAGAGTTTAAAACAGGAGAGCATGTTTTAGAAAACCGGCTGCAGTGAAGCAGGCGGGAGGCGAATCGAGCGGCGGCGTCCTCTAACAAAAGCGTGTGGTCATCAAGAAAGTTTCCTGCCTGAAAGAGACGCACGAGTCGAAGGAGCTGTTCGGTTTCAAAGAGCCGAGCGGCATCGACAGACGCAGGAGCCACTGGAGGTGAGCTAGACGAGCCGATCGACCCCAGCTGGCCTGGGAGAGGAGGAGGAGAAGGCGGGAGAGGAGGAGGGGGGTCTCCCAGGTGCAGCTACCACCTCCTCCGTCTAAACCCTTCTCATCCTGGAGGAGCAGCGGCTCGTTTGAAGCCCCACCGAGGGAGACGCAGCAGAGGCAGGAGGAGGAAGGAGGGGGTTCGGTCCTGGAGAATGCTGAGTGCTGCAGAAAAAGGCCGAGGCCATCGATTCGGTCTCCTGCAGGAAACTGCCTGAGGAGGAGGAGGGGGATTCACCCAGAGCCACATACAGATTTCTGCTGGTCAATGGATGCACAGGGGGAGGGGAGGAGGTGGGGAGGCCAGGCCAGCCGGGCATTTGCTGATGTAAAAAGTTCACTGGAGATTGTCGGATTGAAACCCGGCGGGGCTGAGGCCGCCGGCGCCGGCCTGGGGCAGTCATCATGGTGGCACGCCCATTAGAAAGAGGTGGATGAGAGAGGATGAGGAGGATGAAGGAGAGGAGGTGAGTCAGTTTGAGGCGTACAGGGAGAGGTCAGAAACAGAAGTTGTCTTTTTTTTCTCATTTGTCGTCTTCGTCACAGCTTACTAGGCGATTATGGAAGAGCATGCAGTTATATCTCATGGTTATTGTACATCAGCTATAATCAGAGGGGCCTGACAGACAGCAAAGGCTACTGGTGTTCAGAAATGTCAACAGTTACAAACAATTATTGGATCAGTATTCAGAAGAGCATTATAATACAGGAGTTCACAGGCACTACATTTGATCTTTTTTGATATATCGTGTAATATGCTGGTTGGTTTCTCTTTTCTTTTCACATGTTTAACTCGCTGGGATCTGGAAATGGAAGGACCGACCGTAGAAGAAGAAGAAGAAGAAGGCAGAGGCTGAAGATTTTAGATCAAACCAGTCCACGTGGGCGAGCAGGCGGGCGCACGCACATGGGCTGCCGTGCCACACCGTGCCACACCGTGCCACGTGCAGGTGTCTGTTTTTAGTCAGTGCATAGTTCTCATGCAGATTAGACTGCTATGCTGTGATACGCTGTCAGGAAGCATGATGGCGAGTTCAAATTGTCCCATTCTGCAGCTTAGCTCAGCTTCACTGGCTCCATTTAACACTTAGCACCTTGTAATGTTTGCAGGATAAATAAATATCTTTGCAAAGGAACAGTGACACCGTGATTCATTACAGCCGAGCGCCGGAGAGCAGCTCCAGTGCTACCTGCCTCGCGTCCAACGACTTTCCTTCATTTCTCTAAACTGAAGCCATTTGTACTGATTTCCTGGCTGGCGCTCCGGCACAGCGACGTGCTGAAAGATGTCTTCCTCCTGCTCCGTGGGAAACGTTTGGACTCGGTTTAGAGCGAAGCGTGGGGGCGGATCCCACCAGAGTGCTCTGCCTTCACCCTTGGGTGGACAAAAAACACCCGGCTCTACCGACTCCCCTTCGGATTGTTTCCGACCCGCAGACTCGCACGGCGCCCGGTCTGATGTGTTTCTCGGGTGGCGGGGGTGGGTGTGTGAGGTGGGAGGGGTTAATCGCTGCCCAGGAGAATTTGGACAAACGTGAAGACAACAAAGGCATTAGCGTAAAAAGCGCGGCCTTCATTCAACCCTGTTTCCTGATGGAGCGGCACGGTTCCTCCAACCCGAGGATCTACGGTTAGCAGCGAGGAGGAGGAGACACGGGCGGCGGCTCTCCTCTGGAGTTTTTCAGTCTGTGACTCCAGCTCTCTGTCTGGTAGCTTTGGATGATTGTGTGGGGGTGAGTGGAGTGGAGGAGGCTGCAGGCGGGTGAGGTGTTTCGAACAAACGCCCCTGCTGGTGGTTCAGCCGGTTGGACACAGCGTGGGGGTGGGGTTTATGTGTCTTTTAATGTAAAGAAGGTGTGGTGGGTGAAAGAGCCGGGTCTCTCCAACGAGTTCCAGCGTGACCACGGCTGCTCCGCTGATTGAGTCTGTCCTGAACTCAAAACACACCGACGCTGAGCACACGAGCTGCGGGCCGGACGTGCAGTCACCGCAGCAGCACCATGCGGGTTTTGGCTCGCTATGCGTTTTCTGTGACGTTGCGCAGCTCAGACTCGTAGATGAAACGACAGGAACCTCTGGAGATGCTGCAGTTAGAATCTGAGTCACAAACGAGCGGCAGGCCAGTCCCGCCGCTTTCACTAAAACGGTAAAACCACTCGGGGCAGCTGTCGGCGTCCTCTCCGAAGACAAAACTGTAAAGGTGACGGAACTACCTGATTGGTCGAGTCAGTTGGTTTACATTAGAGTGAGAAAAAATTTGATACAGGTGGACTCGTGTAAAAATCCTAAACTTCTAAACTTTAACCGTTTCTGCCGATCACGTTCCTTCAATCACCCGACTGAACTTTAGACGTGTCGTGTTAGCAGCAGGATAACGACACATTGACTGACATTAACGTGCGATTTTTTCCTGCTTCCTGTCACAGATGGCGGCGCTGCCAGCAAGGGGCTGGCAATGACAATACCGTTGCTGCCACCGTGGCCATCGTGACGCTTTGACCCTTGTAAGCAATCAGAGGCCACAGCGCCAGCTGCAGCTTCGCTGGCGTTCTCGCCTCTCAATGTTTACTCTAAACATCGCGAGCGGGACCTCAGAGCACGCTGGAAGCCGGCCTTCGCCGCTCGCCGGCTGATACCTGCTGACTGTATGTGAGGAGCAGCGGCAGATGTGTGGATGGACGGAGATCAAAGCGGACCTCCAGGCTCGAGGAGGGCTGGGTGAGGAGGAGGAGGAGGTGATCTTGTGGGCCAGTGAAGAAAGAAACAGATGGAAAAGAAAAAGAATCATGTTGCATAATCAAGCTGTTTATTTTCCCGCATGGAATGGTGAACACAAAAAAAGATGCCGAGATGCATTTATAGTAGGGGCATCCTTTGGCTGGCTATGTCATTGTCTCCTGCCTAAAACGAAAATGTTAAAAATGCATAAAAAACTCGCTTTTCTTACCAATTTTCCTCAGAATTACTGGATTTAGCTTCATCGACACTGATGCAACAAAGAACCTTCAAAAACATACAGCATACTGTAACATCCATTTACAAAGGTCTGATCACCACAGCGCCCAAACGTGTAAGTGCAGGAATATGCTAAACCATCAACAGAGGAAATGTCCTTAAATACACAGAAAAAGGAAAACAAATAAAGGAAAAACTAAGAAATCAAATCAGGAAACAGGAAAGTTTTCAACTCAAGTCCAGTTCCCAGAAAACAAACCAACCAGTTCTAGTAATGTGGCCTCGATACAAACGATCAGAAAATTCACAACACTACTTTTTCCTCATTTAATCAATGTTACAAAAGTCCTGCATTAGAAAATAGGGCAGCTTTAAAATCAGTGTAATTAATAAAACTATACAACATACAAACAAGTCTTGCAGTCAGCTGCTGCTCTGCCCACCGCCCGTCTCTTCGCCGCTGAACTAAATGACACAACACGAGAACAAAACACGCTGCCCAAACTATTGCTTTATATCATCTTCTGTCTTTAAAAACGGTGCAATTGTGTTGTTATCTTACATGCAGCCGTACGTCGCTGATTAGATGCTAGGCTGCTTTTTTAGTTTTTCTGACACTTTCAAAAAAATGTCCGTGCAATATTTTATTCCCTTCACTCGCTTTAAGCCCTGGAAGCTGTTTTTTTAAATTTTTTTTTTAATTTCATACTTTTCACTATTTATTTCATATTTAGTGCAGATAATTAATGCCCAACTCATGGCTAAAGGGTAGGCAAGAACAGAGACAGAACAAACACGAGGAAGAAACACGGCACCCGCAAGAGAAACCACTCGACCGTCACAACCGCGGGCGCCGTCACAGCAGGCGGGCAGTGGCGTCGGAAACGTTTCCGAACGATGGACGAGAAGTTGGACTTGTCGGAGGCAACTAAAGGAATCAAATAAAAAGGATTTGGGAAAGAGAGACCCGGATGTCAGACTGTGGTTGTCTGGAAGGAAGGAAGGAAGGAAGGAAGGAAGGAAGGGAGTAAATCACCCTGAGCGGCGCCGCGGGGCTTCACCATTTTCAGGGACTGACCATGGAGCATGACAGAAGTCACATGCACGCTAACTTTGGTTGAAAGAAAAAAACAAACACAAAACAGACGAAACAGAAGACTACGTAAGTCTGAGTGCAAGCAGGTATTGCATATTTTATGTCCTTGTTATTCAAATGTGGGAACAAAAGTAGAAGAACTGACGGACTGAAAATGGAAACAGGAAGACGTGAAAGAAACGTTTTTTTGCTGTTCAGAGATCGCAGCAACAGACGCAAGTCATCGCAGGAGAGCAGTCTGCCCCTTCAACACGAGCGTGAAGGTCAGTGCAATGAGCACACCTGCAGTGACAGCCTACTCACACCAGGCGTAGCAGACTCTCAGAGAATCATGTGACCATCTAAACACCTGTAACAAGCTGGTCTGGAAAGCATCGGACCAAAAGTGTCCTAACCAGGCTTTAAAATAGGGCCGGTTTCCTGCAGGTTTTAGATGTCTCCTTGATCCAACACAGCTGATTTAAATGGCTAAATTACCACCAGAGGCCTGGTAATGAACTTATCATTTGATTCAGGTGTGGTGACCCAGAGTGATATTTAAAACCTGTCGGTGTGTTAATTCGTTCACATTTTGTTTTGCTCATGGCGAACAAATATGCTGCTCTGTTAACATTTATCATTAAAGCTGCTCGACTTTTTCTGCAGGTTATCTGGGGCCGGGCCCAGACTTCCCTTGCCTCTGCCACCTCCAAGGACAGCGGCGGTGCTGGTTCCCAGGACAGCCGAGATATGTAATCTCTGAGGTGAGCCGTGCCTGACACCCCGGCTGCCTCCTTTTGATGTGGAGGAGCAGGAGGAGTGAACTCCTCAGCCTACTTCTAAAGGAGACACTTCCTCCATTCTAGAAACAGGGAGTCTCCGGTTGTCATCTTGGAGGAGGTCCTGAGAGAAATACCAGGACTCCACATTAACTTTTAGGATGGAGGAAGCCTCTCAGTGAGGTGAGGAACCTTAAGAAGAAGTCCAGCTGCCTTCAGGTGAAGTGCGTAAGACCACCAAGACCTGGATGACGTTTTGTTCATTAGGTGATGTGGTCGGCTCACTTACTGAAAAGTCTGCCATCATGAAACTGTTGGCTGAACACTTTCAGCTGTAAAACTAAGACCAAACTGCTAAAGCAGAGACCCTGAACTTTGACCTCTGCACTTCCTGAAACCTACTTTTAGCTGCAGAACTGTTGGCTCAAACCGTGCTGCTCACTTCCCTTTGTTCAAACCAGACATCATCACGTCACATGACCTCGGACTGGGTGCTCATTCCACCAAACTTCAGCGTGCTTTTAGCTGTTAGCACGTGGAGCTGATAGTAGCTGGTGTAGATTTCATCTGCTCGGGTCTGCAGGTGTTGGAGGGCGGGGCAGAACGCCACGCAGGCCCGAGAGCTCGTAATACAAAGGGTTCCTCCTCAGCTTCAATGCCTTCTACGACATCTCGGGTATGGAGGAAAACTAAAGGAAAGAAACAACCAATCACGACTCTCCACGCCAGATCTCATGAAACCTCTCAGGACTGAATTGAAGCTCAAGGCACATCGATGAGGAACACGTGTTTCCGTGCAATCTGAGATCAAACGGAAGAATGAACGTCTCGAAACCGAAGCAGAACTGATCTGTTGTGGCAGGAAAAGGAAGGAAGGAAAAATAAAAAGGATGGAGAGATGACGAGAAGCGAAGAGAGCTGGTTGTTTGTGAAGGACAGCAAGAGGAAACTAATAGACGGCTGCTGGCAAGTGCCGGATGTTGGGTTTACAATATAGTGTCTTTTCTCACTAACTACATCATCTATGGAAAAATCTGTCACTAACACTAGAACATGCATTTTTTTGTTCTTTTTTTAAATAACTTTTTCACTTAAATTCACTTTTGTTCAACGCTGGTGTGTGTGTGTGTGTGTGTGTGTGTGTGTGTGTTTGTGTGTGGTGTGTGTGTTTGTGTGTGTGTGTGTGTCTGTGTTATATATATAGTATAGGAAAGGAAAAACAAAACTGAAGATCGATAAAATGCTGAGTTGCACGTGAAGCGCTGTCGGCCGTCTGTTTGTGGACGAAAGCTTCCAGAGAGTTACCCTCTGCTCTACCTCTTCATAGCTAAACCAAAACCCCTGATTACAAACTCACAGCCTATTGGCCAACTGCGGGAATAAGTGCTTTTGGCTGGGCACGACCTCTAGGAGACCCAGCCAATTGCAGGGCTGGCCCTTACTGGGCGGCACCCGTTAAAAGATTAAACCACGCGATTATTTTCAGCTTAAACTCACATGGTACTTTTTCTCCAGATTTCATTAAATTCGGATCGAAAGTAAAACGATGTGCTCATTAAAATAAGTTAACCGCTTGGCGTTTTTTTCCCTCCTCAAACAAAATGAAGCGCAGACTTCAGCTGCTTTAAAAGACTGATTGTTTAAAATGATATTTGTTAAAGGGATTCTCATTCTACCATCTAACAGCTTCACACGATGAACAAACGACAAAGAAGAAACGATAAAAGTGAATACAGCTCGCCTTATTTCTCACCCGGCTGTGGTTTCGACTTCAGCGCTGTGTGGTTGTCTTTTTTACCCCGCTATTTTAGAGTCCCAGAGGTGTGAGCGGACTAGGAAGAAAAATATATATTTATATATACTTTTCATCAACTGTTTTCAACGAGCTATCTTACAAAGATATTTAACTATCCAACAGCTAGCCAACAAAATTGCACTTTCCTCATGATCAATATTTCACTGGTAAAGTTTGAGTTGCTCTTCTCTCTCCTATCTGCCTGCCTCGATTCGGACACCAGAGTTTTCGGCCCACTCTTAGCATGCTGTAGCTTCACCCCCATGGGTGGATGGTGGAGGACGAGGAGGCTGAAATGGTGGCGAAAAGAGAAAAATCAATGAGCCGTGAAGCCAAAAAGCATCCAAGAGGAACAAACTCGGATCCACCAGCATCTGGTCGCAACACTTCACATAAAGAAAACCCTAAACCCTAAAACCCCACGATTATACCCACCCTCCACCCAGTCGCCCGTCACAGCCCCCCCCCTCCACATGAAGTTCTTGTTATTTCTGTGAAACAGGTGGGGGCGTCTGTTTGCGCCTGTCACACCTCCACATCCATCCAGGTCCATGTCCTTTCAAAGAGCCTTCCAACTTCCCCCTCCCTGACCTGCCAGCAACCGAGGGGCGTGAAGTCCATCCCAGGAAGTCCGTGAAGGCTCAGGTGGTGGCGATGTTGGTGGCCCCTCGTACCAACTGTGCCACATCCCAACTTCACGAACCCCCAAACCATCGGACTCCAGACGGGGGGGCAGGTGATGAGTGTGGGGAGGGTTTCGTATGACTGTAAGTCCACGGATGCACCCGCTGCAAAGGATGATGGGAGAGCATATGTGTCGTCAGAAGCTCTGTGACTCAGTCTTTCCCAAAGATTGTAGGCTCAGGTCGCCCACGTACTTATCAACCTGGTTGGATTTGGGGTGGGGGGGTGGGTCTGGCACTGTATATGGACACTGAGGTGTGAACCATACGTTTGCACGGATGTCTGTGATATACAGTTTGCAGGGGGTCACGGAGCGTTTGATCCGCTGTAGCCATGCTGATGCTGCTGAGCCTGTGTGTGGTGCTGGTGGAGGCGGAACAGGAAAGTAGTAGGGATAGGTTAGACTGGGCTTTCTGTCACAGCTGGCATCAAAGGTGAAAGGTCGGAGAGGAGACTGCAGCGATCTGTCGTACAGGTGGGCGGAGGGGCCTCTGGAGTCCTTATCCCAGGTACCACTGTGGAGAGATAAAAACAGATTTTAACATCTGGACTGCTTTAGCAACCACTTACCGGACGATCCCGACTGCAGGTACTTGTCGTCCAAATTTACCCAGAACCAATCAGCGGGGTTACACATTTATCACTAAGGTTTCAAAGATTAGTCTAAGGCTATATGAAATCTTCCCACCGTGCAGCCTCCAGGACGGCTTGTTGTGTGGTTTGTTATTGGCCACAAACCAATGACACTGTGACTGAAGTTTATGGACTTTTCTATGCAGATGATACATTCAACTCCTGTTGCTATAGAAACAATTCTCCAAACTGTGGTTAAAAACTGAATATGGAAAAACTTACTTAAGGATTCATGATGTTACAGTATAAATTTTAAGGTGGATTAGCTTGTAGCGCCAAACTAAATATGTGTGTTCTCCTGAATTCAGGATAACTCAAGTATGTCTTTGAGGAAACATGAATTATTTCTTTAGATTGAAATAAGTGACTGTTATTCAATATATCCTGTTACAACACAAGACCAGAAAAGGTGTGTCCATGAATGATCTTCACTCTGACACTGACAGTAGGCCAAACAAACCCACATTAAACCTCCAGACAGTTGGGACCCAGATGGATTAAAATTAAAGCATTAACTGACTTTTGAGTGAAACTGCCTGTTTTTGTAGGACAGGTGACAAAAATATATGCTGATGGTGTCTGGTGGGCTGCCCCCAACAAAGGGCAAATATGAAGTTTTCCATACTTCCTCTCAGTTATATGGGTGCAAAGTAGGGCTGCCACAAACGATTATTTTGATAGTCGACTAGTCGCCGATTATTTTTGTGATTAGTCGGCTAATCAGATCATGCATCCATTGGACGTAAAACATACAGCTTATTGCATCAGCATGCGTCTGCTCTTATATAGCTATCATTAGCTTACAGTTTGAAGTGTTTAAGTTATGTGCTAACTAAAAATAAAGACAAGATGATAGTTTATTAAACTTTTAATGAAATTTGCAGATTATCTCGGTGGAGTATAATAAACTCAGCCGTCTGCTCCTTGCTATCTAAAATATAACAGGACACTGGAGTAAATTCTCGACCATCTCACACTTCTGTTTAATCAGTTTTCTGTTTGACGTTTATTCAGCTGTGCGAAAATTAGAACTTTAATCTCAGCAAAACCAATTTACTCAGGAACAAATAAAATACTGAAAAAAGTCAAACTATAATTAATTTTAATTATTATTATTTTTAAGTTATCTAAGTGACTTATATATCATGTTTAACCTGAGTAGCGAAAGACTGCGGGGGGTTTGAAAACAATGTGCCGGGAGTCCGGTTTTCTCACTGGCTCTAGTGAGCCTTGAACCCCCCGGCTAGCTATTGAGCTGGTGGGTAACAGACGTCTCAAAAAAACATCGGAGCACTTTTACAAATATGTGACGTCTTGATAAACCGAGCAGATATTTGAAGTTTACACACCTACATTCTCACCTGAAAATATCTTAAAAGTTTATTTTGTGACCCAGAAAGAGCAATACGAGTAATATTAATACTAAGTAGTTGCCGCCATTGTTGGAAACTAGAATTGGCTGGGCCGCGCTATGAATTCTGGGATAGGTTGGGCCACGAAGGACACACCCATCCTTCAAATCTGGGGAAAAGGAGGACGCATTTGTCGGCCGCATTTGGAGAAGTCTTCGAATTTGGACAGCCTTCGTTGCGTCGCTGTAACATAATCGGATCCGAAGGATGCAGCCCCTAAATTTGGACACAGCTACGATACTGGAGACTGCTTCTTCTTCTTTGGGGTTTAGCGGCAGCTGTAGATGCATTGCTGTCATCTTCTGTTTCAGTCTGTTATTAAACTCTTAAATCCTACCACTTATTCCTGCGTCTTTCAGGATCTTACAAAGCTTCAAACGACGCGTTGAATATTAAATTTGTCGTTGACAATTTTGATAGTCGACGTAATCGTGATTAGTCGACTAATCGTGGCAGCCCTAGTGCAAAGGTGTAAAAAATTTAGTTTTAGAGGTTTATGAGGTCAGTGTATGCACAGTGATCACTGTGAGCTAAAAGCTTAGGCTACAGAGTGCTCTAAACACCCCAGTCACGTCTTGATGGATGCTCAATCTCCCGGGTAAGGAAATCTCAGAAACTTGGAAACGCTTTGTCCAGATGAACAGAGTCAACTTTCTGAGACCAATTTATCCATTTTTTTCTTCTATTGGGTCTGTGTGACATAGAGATATGATATGATTAAATAGTCTCCAACAGAGATCACCATATAAGCATGTTCAACCCTTCCATTTACGAGTAGCACCAAATCAGAAGAAAGTCTTTCCCAGGGGCAGGAGCTAAAACTGCATGTTCATAAACTGAGGTGGTGCACTAAAGCATAGTGTAAAGAGATAGAAGAAGATAATTTTGAACCCTGTATCATGCCGAGCTACTCTGCTGCTGTCCAACAATACAGATACACTGTGGGAATTAAAAGACTTTGCCTCCTTTAAGTACACCTCAAACAGTCCCTCCAGGCTGGATTTCTGTTATTTGCTATTTGATGCTATCCTCAGGATATTCTCTTTCCAGCACTATAATCCTGTGGTTGTAATGAACACTGCTGCCTCTAGGGGATGCAAGTGGGGCTTGATTTAGTCGAACCCACAACAGGCTGATGTCAGACTGTCAGGTTCTCGGACTACAAACACAGGACGCTGCTTCTCCTCTCTGGGTATGAGTTTATGACACAGTAGCACAAAACTCTGTGTGTGTGTGTGTGTGTGTAATCCATCTCTGATAGGCTCGTATCGATCGCCAAAGGTGCATCGTTCATGAATCTCTCCCTCCTCTTCCTCACTGGCCCGTCCAGTTCAAGTTCATCTCTGCGTTACATCATGTCTGGTTGCTAAGGACAACCAGACGGCCCGGGACGTGACTACCATCGCCAAGGCAACCGCATCACCCCCCCACATCCCCGTCCCACTACCCCGCCTCTTTTATCCTCTCCCACCGTTTCTTTCTTTATGTTCATCCTCTCTCGATCACTTTCTCCTCCCCGTCCCACTCGGCACTTCTTCACACACACGCACGCACGCACGCACGCACGCACACACACACACACACA